AAGTTAATTGTGATCATGACACCTCCAAAAAGTTATAAAATGCATATGAAAGCGATGATGAAGAATAGAATACAATAGTTTTACCACACAAACATATATATATATATATATATATATATATATATATATATATATATATATATATATATATATATATATATATAGACACACACACATACATATCACTTGCAGGTAAACTTGATTTTTCTGCTAAATCCCACAATGATTACTTTCGGTCTAACTATAAGGGTACAAAAATACGTAAGGCCGAACAGAAGTTGTGAAGATACAGTAGTTGCAGGATAAAACTTGATAATATTATTTTATTTATAAGTTTTGTAAATCTTTTTTGTTAATTTTATATATATATATATATATATATATATATATATATATATATATATATATATATATATATATATATATATATATATATATATATACACTTAGTTACCGTGGCCTGTTTTTGTATACTTAATACTTTTAGAAAAAAACAGCAAAAATGGTCCCTATGGTATGCATTTTTTGGGATTTTAGTCCAAACCATGTCTTTTTTGGATTCGTGGTCCTTTCAGACTAGTTTGTATGTGAAAACTGTCCCTCAAAAAATTGAAATGACTATAATACCCATGGGGTATTTATTTTTTATTTTTCTTTCATTATTTTAAAATTTAATATTTATTTTAACATTTAAAAAATAATAAATGATCTCTCTCTCTCTCTCTCTCTCTCTCTCTCCCTCTGTCTCTCTCTCCCTTTCTCTCTCCCTCATTGTAAAAGTGAAACTAGTATAGTAGGAAGGTAACAACAAAACTTCTTTCTTTCAAAAATGGTAGCATACAAGAATTCATGAAAGTCTTTGTCATCTTCTTCTACTCAATCCCTAACTCCCTTTGACTAATAAAAAATACAAGCACTTCATTTACATCAGTTCATAGCCTAAGCCTCTTGATTTTGAAACACCACCACTGTTCCACCACTACTCCTCCATAGAAGCATCGGTATCCAATGTAAATCACCACTGTTGGCCACCATTTGTCAACCAACAACCCCCTTTTCCATCTCCTGTTCCGACAATCAATCCTAGTAGCAACAACACCAGCAGACGACATCAGAGGAGGTAGAATCAAAATTAGAGACCGTTTCTCCTCATCCAAGACTCTTGATCGATCGAAAAGGAAATCAACAATAATGAGGTGTAGAATCAAAATTACAAGTTCGCAAGAGGTAACGGAGCTGGTCGGAGATGATCGATGGAAACAGTAGCTGACGACGGTAGTGGTTCACAACAATGGCTACTCCGATGGCTTCTGCTACTTCGTTTTCTCCCTTGATGTTTACACAATTGGAGGGACTGATTTATAGTCTCTCAAACATATGGGGGTAAACTGGTCATAATCTTTATCCCTGGCTCCGCGGTCTTGACCGGTTGTATATAAGAACGAAGGCAGAAATCGAGGGACGTTCTTCGATCCTCGTCTGATCGAGAAGGGAGAAGCAAGAATGGAAAACAACAGCAGGTGGGGGTGTTCGTGGGATTTCTCAGGCAGATCGCAAGGAAAGGAAGGAATCTGTTTTTCGATGATCCTCTTGGCCTTCCTTGACTCCATCGTCGTCAGCTACAGATCGAAGGGAAGGATCGAAGGCAGATCAGTGACTCCAGAGGGTTTCATGGTGTCGTGATTGACGGGAAAAGGTAGAGGGTACAGCAGATTTTCGTTGAGCCTCTTTTTGGGTCTACTTCCTCGATACATATACGTGAGAGAGAGAGAGGTGGGCCCCATTTTATTATTAATAAAACATTAAATTAAATAAAAATATATAAAAAATATATCAAAAGGGTAATTTAGTCATTTCAATTTTGACAGTGACCATTTTTACATAAAAACTAGTCCAAAAGGACCACTAATCCAAAAAAATCGGTGGTTGGACTAAAACCCAAAAGATATGTATACCACAAGGACTATTTTTGCAATTTTTTCATACTTTCATTAATAATTAGTTTGATATTTTTTGATTTTTGTTAATATTACATGTTTGGCAAAAAAATTTCAAGTACGATCCTTTCATTTCATTCTTATGTTTATGGAGGAAATCATATTTATTTATAATATGAGGTGTATGGGAAGGCAATATAAATTTAATGTGATGAAGTATTTGAATAACCAAAAAATATCTACAGCAATGGTGATATATAGATTTTACAACTTGTAGCTAGTGTCGAATCGTGAACATTATAATTAACGCTTTTAAAACTTGTTCAAACTAGGAACCGGATCGAACTAAACATTTTCTTAAAAAATCAGGATGAATCAGTGTGATAGATTCGTTAAAAAATTATTTGAACCCATTTTATGGACTTGGATAGTTGTATTTATGTTGTCCCATTAAAAACAGACTCGATTTCCCAAGGAATTTCAATATAAGTTTTAATTTAATAACTTAAAATTAAACTTTATACCTTTATTTTATCCACAGTATGTCAGTTAAAAAGGTTGCCACTCATTTTATTCTTTAGCATGTAATCAAGAGATCGAAGGTAGTAGATATAACTTTTGAAATTAGTACTCCTAGACAAAAAAATCGATAAGATCATTCGTTATATCCAACACATACCACATATGTGATGGGTAACACATCAACACCACATTTTCATACGACTAGCATGTGATACCTACTACTAACACACCACTCCACCTTATTTTTTTTATTTAAATTTAATTCATAGATACATTAAAATCATTTTTTTAATACTAGTTTTTCCATTAAATTAAAATATTAAATTACATTAAATAAAAACTACATTAATTGAAATAAAAAAATAAAACCGACAATAAAAATAAAAATTAAATTAGTTAAAAAAACATTAAAAAAAAACTAAAAATTCCAACCATAAATAAAATCAACTACCACCTACGCCTACGTCGGGCTCGAACCAACTCTTTCATTGCTTGGAAAAGTTCCAAGTCTTCGCCCTCGAGGTCTTCTGCTTTCATTTTCAAGATTTTCATATCGGTTTTTGTTTGGAGCGTCTTTTGTGCCTCTTGAAATGATGATTGTGCTTCGATCATTTTTTTTTCATCCGAGTCATCACCTCGGCCTTCGTTTCTTGAAGTTGCACATATCGATCAAATTTATCGCCAACCATATCCATAACACTAGAATTTGAAGATGTTACCACCGCTTTTTTTGCTTTATTTTTTTCCAACGGGCCGACGAAGAGTTTGGTCGTTTTCAAGATATAGCGGATCGTCGTTGATGTCGATGTGTGTTCGGCCATCCGATTGTTTGGAACTTGCATCGGGGTTTCTCGAACACTTTGAACCGGAAGATTGCGAAGTTCCTTCCGTTTGCTCTTTGCATTTTGGGGCGTATTTCAAATTTAGCCACGGTTTCATATATGGAAAAGCTTTGCGTGTTGGCGTTGTTTTTTCAAATTGCTCCACTGCTGCTTGAAACATCAAAATTGTTCGAGCCACTTTTGCATATGTTTAGGAGGTTGTTGTAGATTCCTCCAAATGCATTTTAGTCGAATGTCTCGCCATTTCGACGTAATTTGATTGGTGTTTCGAGTTTCACTTTCCATTAACTTGTAGAAAATGGCCCGGACTTTCTCCCAAAAACATTCGTAAGGCTGACTATCTCCTACAATTGCATCTTCGGAAACGCCACCCATGCCTCGGCTAATTTTTCTTCTTCTTCTTTTGTCCATGGGACCCTTTCTTGGGCGGTAGTGGGTCGGGCTGATTTTTTTTCCTTTTTTCTTTTTTGGTTGAGGTGGTGGTGAAGGTTGCGTTTCTGCAACAAAATCCGGCGAAAGTGGTGGTTGTGAGCTTGGTGGTTGTTGTTGTTGTGATAATTGTTGTTGGAGTTGTTGAAATTGTTGGTATGGTTGTGAAATTTGTTGTTGTTGGAAAGACGGAAAATGTTGGTACTGTTGTTGGAAAAAAATGATGTTTGTTGGATTGCAGAACTGGTTTGAAGTAGATTAATAAACCCGCCTTGAGGTGACTCCATAGTCGGGAATTGGCGATGTGTTGTATCTAATGCGAAAGCATTATCGAATTTGCGATTTCTGTAGTTTGGAGGGGTAATTTGGTTGGGGTCCATGATTTTTTGTTGTGAAAATGTAGTGTGCAGTTTATATATAGAGAAAGAAAAGAATGGTATAAGAAAAAAGAAGTAAAAATTTGGTATTTATAGGTAAATTAATTGTTTAATTTTTTTTTAAAGTAGCCGTTCAACGGCTACAAACGGCTATTGCAACGTTCAAATGGAAGGCTTCGAATTGATTGTGCGTGCCTTTCCGTTGTGCTGAGCACGAGAGACAACGACCACGAGCCACCACGAAGCAATTGGGTAGTGTGTACGCTCGTTGTTCGTAGCCAACTCAACCACAAACGTCCTGGTGCTCGGTATACCACTCGGCCTAATTTACTGATCAAAAATAGTCTCTAAATCTTTATTGAAAGCTAGTTGCTCTATATATAGACTTCAACAAAGAAAGGTTGTTGAACACAAAAAGCTAAAAATCAGCTATAACTACAAACTAATCGTACCGATCCCAAGATATACGTCCTTTGAATCGGTCAAAGCTGGTATATCTCTAACAATAATCAGGCTCGTTCCAGTGGGCGATAAGGGCGACCGTCCAGAGCCCAAATTTTTTATGGAAATTGTTATATTTAGAAGATAACACAAATAATTTTATTTCAATTATTAAGTTATTATAAAAAACTTATAACATTTATGTTTTTTAAGGGCTCATTTTTTTTTTTTCACTCGCCCTGAGCTCAAAATATGTTTGGAACAGCTCTCAAAATAATAAGTAAAAAATACATTTATTTTATTTGTAGTAACAACAACAAACATAATGCCTGATAATCCTTGAGAAAGACCAACGCAATTAAACGCAGAAAATTTAAATTATTTTTAAACAATCAAATTACGAAGAAAACAAAGAAAAAGTCAAATGATTTTAATCATTTATACATTACTAAGCACAAACCACAAACATCTCAATTTGTAATGATCACTCGTCGCATGGAAATTTACTAGAATTCTACTTGAATTTTCATATCAGAATCGTCCATCATAGATCTCAATATTGGACGTTTTACCTCCGATGAAAGTCCACTTAAAAGTATAACCACGTCAGACATCGATGGTCTCGCTGAAGCTGTTGAATGTATGCACATCAACGCTATCTCTATGATTTTCTTTGCATCTTCTTTCATATATTCACTTGGATCTAGTGTAACGTCCATGAGAGTCAAATGATCGCCGTTTTCATATAAACTCCTTGCCTATTATAGTAAATGATAATGAAGGAAAGTTAAATTCTAAAAAAATGAATGGCTGCACCCTTCATGACTCGTATTATGTCCAAGTGCGGTATTCGATCTCATACACGTTAGGTTATCATGAGAAACCCAAAACAACAATACAAGCTCATCATAGGTGAAAAACAAGTCAAATCAAACTCAAGATACACTAGAGAACTGAGGAAGCATATATATATATATATATATATATATATATATATATATATATATATATATATATATATATATATATCATGTGCTAATACCATAACCTTAAGATTCTTACATGATCAACGAGTTTTAGTGAGAGAAATTCATTTTGAAGCATGTCATTGGAGCATTTTCCACTAATGGTTTCGAGGATGACGACACCAAAGCTGTATATATCAACTTTCTCGGAGCACAGCCCGTTCATTGCGTATTCAGGTGCTATGTATCCATTAAACCTAGCAAAAAGAATGTCAACCGCTAATTAGGTTTCAAAGTTACTTTGCAAGAGAAAAATGCATGGCGTATAGTAAGAACGTATACAAGGTGCCTGTAACTTTCGCGCTAACTTTGGTGCTGAGATGACTTTTATCTTCCGGCAATAGTTTTAGTAGGCCAAAATCAGAAATTTTCGGTTGAAATTCGTTGTCCAACAAAATGTTGCTGGGTTTTATATCGCTATGAATGATCGTGACATGGTATTGATCATGTAGATATGCAAGACCCCTGGCTGTACCATATATTATATCAAACCTTTGTTGCCAATTTAGGGTACCCCGTTTGTCACCTAATTAAGGTACAGATTTATTAGTTGATTAATTCAGTGTTCAATATTCAAATTGGAAGATTGCATGCAATTAATAACGATAAACGTTAAATTAACTCACCATAGAGAAATTTATCAAGGCTACCATTTTCCATGTACTCAAGGACAAGATACATGTGAGGTCCTTTACGACAACATCCAAGGAAACGTACGAGATAGCGGTGATGAACATTACTGATGATTTGGATTTCACTATCTAAGTCGGTTTTTCCACTCTTAGATGCTACGACAATTTTCTTTATTGCAACAGTAACTTGATCCTTCATAACACCCTGATTTTGCCATATACACAAGCAGTTAAAAGAAATACACCTCGTTAATTCTAGCTTTCTCTCACTAGCTTGATTTTTTTTTTTTTTTTTTTTTTTTTTTTTTTCAAAATGTTGTTGTTCCATTAAGAAAAATATAACACCTCGGGCATGTACTAATATTTAATTGGTTAATGTTCACTACTAGCACGATTCATTCTAACTTTTTTATGTTGTGGTATAGAATGTTGTATGTTTGAGCTAAGTCCAAGCGATTAGGAATTTCTACCAGAATCACAGTTCGTTGTTTTGCCTCTATGTAATGGGGTTTAAAAATATTGCTTAGGTCACGTGATTGCGTAATGTAATCACAAAGAGGTTAATATATATCCATTGTTTAATGTTGAGAGGTTTTGTACGTTTATACCAGCTGGTGTGTGGGTTTATTTCTGTACCGATAGAACTATTCGGTAACTTCTTTTGAACAGAAACACATATTACCTTATACAACATGTTAATCACGCCTCCGATTATATTTTCATTCGAAAAGTTATTTGTAGCGGTTTTTAAATCTTTGTAGGTATAAACTGTTGTCCTTTGCAACAAGTCGGTTGTTCCACTTGAGTTATCTGGTAATTTTAGATTCCACATAATTAGTAGTGACACATGAACTTGAATAAATTAGAGAGTGGTAGTATTAAAAAATTGTAAATTTAATAGCATATGAATTACTAACCTTCTCTGCGGTGTTTTGACTTTTTGGACTGACGACGCCAGAAGAAGAATGCAAGTATGACCAAAAGAAATCCTATACCACCAACAACTCCGCCTATAATGGATCTCAAATTTCTTGAATATCCTGTCAAGTTGATTAGATAAGCATTGACTATATAAAAACAATTTATGGTTTTGTGTTTTTAGTGACAATTCTTCTGGATCGGTTGGTTAAAAGTTCGACTGGAAACCGATTTTAAAAAAACATGAGCCGAGTTCAAGCTTAATATTAAGCTTGTTTATTAAATCAACTCGAGCATGAACTGGAAACCGATTTTAAAAAAACATGAGCCGAGTTCAAGCTTAATATTAAGCTTGTTTATTAAATCAACTCGAGCATGAACCTTTGTCAATAAGCTCGATTAGGCTCGTGAGCCTAAACGAGTATATATAATATAATAATTATTATATTTATATGTTAAAAAAAATATTTAGGTAATTAGGAACTTAAGGTATTAGTAAACGCTCTTCTTAAGGAGCTCGAAACCAGACTAAGATTATTTAGGTACGTTAGACAAAAAACGATCCGAGCTCGAGCCCAAATCGAACTTGTATAATTCATTACGTGCTTGAGCCAAGCATGGTAAAAAAAGCTAGAATCGAGCCGAGCTCGAGCTCGAGCCTCATATAACTTAAACGAACCCAAGTCGAGCATAGCCAAGGTCGGGTTTTGCTCAACTCGTTTGCACCCATACTGATGTGGACCTAACCATGGTTCATATTTATTGAGGACGACAACAAAATATAACAATAAAAACAAACGTATAGAATATCATAAAGGAAAAAAAAATACTTGTAGAAGAATAACTGTCGTACCATTCGTTAAGAAAGATGTGATATCGGTTGTTTGATTGGCTTGAAAAAATGGAATTTCGGAATACCTCATAAAACATCCGTCGTCAATCGCCTTTCCCGATGTACTAGGAAGACAATTATCTAATAATCTAAATCTGATCTTTAAACATTCTGCACACATACTCTGGCTTATGTTGCGGCCACATTGTGCAATGGCATACACAGTTTCATTGGTTCCAGTAATTTGCCTTGTGGAAGCAGCAAAGAAACTTGGTATTTTTGGTATTACAATCCGAAGATCTGAAAGCAACCCACTTGCTGTTTTTAGTTGTTCCTTTGGATGTGAAGATGTAGTATTGCCACATATTGCAATAGTACCGGTTTTCATGATCGCATCATTGTAGAAGTTTTTGTTCTCATACCTGCAGCACCACAAAGTCTTTTAGCGACACATTTCTAGAATTTCAGCCATGATAGGAAACCTTAACAAAATTCTAGGAAAACTAAAGTAATTTATAGGGAAAATGATTTACAAGCCCAATGAAGTTTTCAAATTGTTCAAAAAACCTCAATCATATTTTTTCTATCCAAAAAAACCCAACGAACTTAACATTTTGTCTAAAAAGCCCAACTAAGTTATACTTTCCTGAAAGTCAAATAAGAGAAATAGATGACGTGGTTTATTACCGTATCGGGAAAATGACTTGTTAGACCAACAAAGTTTCCAAAACGTTTAAAAAACTCCAATCATGTTTTAAGTGTTCAAAAAAAACCCTAATGAACTTAAACAAAACAAAATTGGGATTTTTTGAACGGTTTGGAACTTTGTTGGATTTTTTAAACAAAAAGTTAAGTTCGTTGGGTTTTTTTGAACAGACAAAACATGATTGAGATTTTTTGAATGGTTTGGAAACTTTGTTGGGCTTTTAAGTCATTTTCCCTAATTTATATGGAGAAAGGTAAAACATAATCACCTGAGGTCGCAATCATCATAGAAAACATGAGCACCATTTCCGAGGCCACATACTTTCAAATAAGAAACAGCTGAGTCAAAACAAGATAGACACTCAGCTGTCGAGAGATGTGCCCTGCACAAAGCTTGACCATAGACGGATTCACCATTAATCACAGTCTTTGAAACGACGTGATAATTATTGATTCGGGATAACTGCTTTCTGAGGCTAGAAAGAGTGGTGTTGAGATTTTCAAGAAAAACTTGCCCGTTCATGCCTCTGTAGTAACTACAATACCACCTGATCATTGTGTTATTTCTATCGATCTTCTGTGATGTTACTGGCTGTGTCATTGATATGAAAAGAAGAGCCACTACACTCACCATCCACCACCATGACCACCATTTTGTGTTCAGTTTCATGATATGCTCTCTCTTCAGATGTTTTAGGAAGCTGAACTCAACACGAACTCAACACTTTATTTATAGGAGAGGATGGGTTAATTCAAACAAATTTCCTAGAGTTTTTATAGTTTAAATATGGCCAGAGGGGATATACATTCTTCTTGAATAAAATAATATATTCAATATTCATGTTCTCCTTTGCTTAATGAACATGCCATTGCACCTCTGTAGTTCGAATAAATAACAAAGATCAACATCCTTATTGAAAAATTATATACAAATGTCGTCCTCTGCTTAATAAATATGCATACTACGACTATATTGCACATAGCATAGTAATAAAATGAAACATAGAAAACCGTTTTGCATTTGTATTCTTTAACGGTATTTTCAATTGGAATTGATAATAATTGATAAAATACTAATACCTTATAAAAAATGTAGTACGTTTCTTAATTGACGATTATATTTTTTGTAAACACATACAATTTGGTTTTAAAGTAGCCGAAGTTAGTATATATTATTACACAATATTATTTTCAACAAGACAATAATTTCTCAAAAGATATTATTTTTTATAAAAGACATATAACTCTCTATAAAGAAAACGGTCTTATTATAATTTGTATTTGTATATCTCGTGAAGAAACTGTAATTTTTATTTCATTAGATCAGCAGAATCACTACGGGAATACATGGCTATGGTGACGACACCTATACCGACGACAAATGTCGTCGCTATAAACTCCCCTACGCCGACGACTAGTCGTCGCCACAAGTTTTGCCAACTTTGACCAAAATCGTTTGACCTGGATAATTGTGCCGACGACATGTCGTCTCGAAACCTCTCTGGCGGGAACTACCAAAGAATACGTGGCATTGCTGAAAACCTATGCCGACGACTAGTCATCGGTATAGCTTTCGATAAATGTGTTTTCCAATTATTTATATTCGCTGGCCCGGTTTATGAAAACGACGTAGTTTTACGGACTTTATACCGACGACTTGTCGTCGGCATAGATGTTTTTTATTTTTCATTTTTTTTTTAATTTCAGCGTAAATAGCAAAAGACATCGTTTATTTTAACCCTATACCGACGACATGTCGTCGGCATATAGGTGTTTTTTATTTTTCATTTTTTTTGTTTCAGCGTAAATAGCAAACGATGTCGTTTATTTTAACCTTATACCGACGACTTGTCGTCGGCATAGGGGTATACCTAAAAGTCCACCTTCTGCGTTTCATTTGCACGCATCGACGCAGTTTTCTTCCTTTCTCTCGCTGCCGGCGACAATCAAAGGACCTTCCCAAAATCCGGCGATTAGCACAAGGTATTGTCTCTTCTACCCAATTTTTCTCTATATTGCTGTGTGGTGAATATATTTACCCCTAATTTGGAGTTTTTTTTGTGTTATTTATTGCAATTGGTTCACCCACCCTTTTCAGTCATCCCCACCGGCAAGTCCACCTCCGGTTCACCACCTTCGGCCTGCTCTCCTTCACTGCTACATCATGTAAGTGTTGATTGGTTTTGGTTGTGTTGTTGCTATCGTTTTTTTTTCTCTGATTTGATGTATTTTTGGTGACCACGAGCCACCACCCTAGGATACCCATCAAAGCTGACAATTGGAATCTTGATGTCACAGCAAAAAGAAAAAAACAGGTTAGTACTTTTATTTATAATTTTTTTTGAAATTGTGATTGTATATATGTATAAGTTTATATGAAATTGATATCACTAGCTTGATTTTTTTTTTAAATTGTTGTTGTTGCATAAAGAAAAATAAAACACCTCGTGCATGTACTAATATTTAACTGGTTAATGTTCACTACTAGTACGATACATTCGAACATTTTGTAGTGATATATCATGTGGTAATATTGAACTAGTCCAAGTGATTAGGAATTTCTACCTGGAATCCCAGTCCATTGTTTTGCCTCTATAATATAATGGTTCTTAAAAATATTGTTTAGGTCACGTGGTTGCGTAATGAAATCACAAAGAGGTTAATATATATCCACTTTGTTTAGTGTTGAGAGGTTTTGTACGTTTATACCTGCTGGTGTTTGGGTTAGTTCTATACGGATAGAAGTATTCCGTAACTTCTTTTGAACAGAAACAAATATTACCTTATACAACATGTTAAACCCGCCTCCGATTATATTTTCATTCGAAAAGTTATTTGTAGCCGTTTTTAAATCATTGTAGGTATAAACAGTTGTCCTCTGCAACAAGTCGGTTGTTCCACTTGAGTAATTATCTAGTAATTTCAGATTGCACATAATTAGTAGTGACAGAAGAACTTGAAAAAATGAGAGAGATGTAGTATTAAAATATTGTAAATTTAATAACATGTGAATTACTAACCTTCTCTGCGGTGTTTTGACTTTTTGGATTGACTACGCCAGAAGAAGAATGCAAGTATGACCAAAAGAAATCCTATACCACCAACAACTCCGCCTATAAGGGTCTCAAATTTCTTGAATATCCTGTCAAGTTGATGATCTTTAGATAAGCATGGACTATATAAAAACAATTTATGGGCTTGTGTTTTTAGTTACAATTATTCTAACTCGTTAAAAACTCGACTCAAAACCTATTTTAAAAAAGCATAAGCCGACTTCAAGCTTAATATTAAGCTCGTTTATTAAATGTGCTCGAGCTTGAGCCTATGTCAGTAAGCTCGATTAGGCTTGTAAGCCTAAAAGATCCTATAAATAATATAATAATTATTATTTTTATTTATTAAATAATATTCAGGTAATTACGGATTTAAGGTATTAGTAAACGCCCTTATTAAGGAGCTCAGAACAAGATTAAGATTATTTAGGTACGTTAGACAAAAAAACGAGTCGAGCTTGAGCCAAATCGAGCTTGTATAATTCTTTACGAGCTTGGTACAAGAAAGCTCGAATCGAGCCGAGCTCGAGCTGAAAGCTCATATAACTTAAACGGACCCTGATTCGAACATCGCCAAGTTCGGGTTCGGCATAGCTGGTGTGCACCCATAGTGATATGGACCTAACCATGGTTCATATTTTTTATGGACGACAACAAAATATAACCCTAAAAACAGACGTATAGAATATCATAAAGGAAAAAAAAACTTGTAGAAGAATAACTGTCGTACCATTCGTTAAGAAAGATGTGATATTAGTTGTTTGATTGGCTTGAAAAATTGGAATTTCGGAATACCTCATAAAACATCCATCGTCAATCGCTTTTCCTGATGTACTAGGAAGACAATTATGTAATAATCTAAGTCTGATCTCTAAACATTCTTCACACATACTTTGGGTTATGTTGGGGCCACATTGTGCAATGGCATACACTGTTTGATTGGTTCCAGTAATTTGTCTGGTGGAAGCAGCAAAGTAACTTGGTATTCTTGGTATTACTGTCCGAAGATCTGAAAGAAACCCACTTGCTGTTTTCTTTTGTTCCTTTGGATGCGAAGATGTAGTATTTCCACATATTCCAATAGTACTAGTTCTCATGATAGCGTCATCGTAGAAGTTTTTGTTCTCATACCTGCAGCACCACAAAGTCTTTTAGCGAGACATTTCAACAAATTTCAGCCATGATATTTTTTGTCCAAAGATATAACTATTTGAGGAAACCGTAACAAATTTCTAGGAATTTAATATAGAGAAAGGTAAAACCTGATCACCTGAGGTCGCAATCATCATAGAAAACACGAGCACCATTTCCGAGGCGACATACTTTCAAATAAGAAACAGCTGAGTCAAAAGAAGATAGACACTCAGCAGTCGAGAGATGTGCCCTGCACAAAGCTTAACCATAGACAGATTCGCCATTAATCATAGTCTTTGAAACGACGTGATAATTATTGACACGGGATAACTGCTTTCTGAGGATAGAAAGGGTGGTGTTGAGGTTTTTAAGAAAAACTTCCCTGTTCATACCTCTGTACGCACTACAATACCACCTTAGCATTGTGTTATTTCTATCGATCTTCTGTGATGTTACTAGGTGTGCCATAGATATGAAAAGAACTACCACTAGACTCACCATCCACCAGCATGAATGCCATTTTGTGTTCAGTTTCATGATATACTCGTCTCTTGAGATGTTTTAGGAAGCTGGACTCCACACATTATTTATAGGAGAAGATGGGTTAATTCAAACAAATTTTTTAAAATTTTTATACTTTAAATATGGTCAAAGAGGAGATATACATCCTTCTTGAATAAAAATAGTACATTCAATATTGATGTTCTCTTTTCACTACTAGAAAAACAGCCTTTTACGACGCACATTGCGCGTGGTAAAAGGCTCAGACGACGCGCAAATGCGCGTCAAGGAAGGCCCTGTCATAAAGAGAGACGACACGCTTTTGCACGTCGTCTATAGACGACACGCATTTACGACGCTCATTTACGACGCGCGTTTACGACACGCAATGCGTATCAAGGAAGGCCCTGTCATAAAGGAATACGACACGCATTCGCGTGTCATAACCTTACGACGCACGTGTTAATGACACGCAATGCGTATCAAGAAAGCCCCTGTCAAGAAAGGCCATGTCATAAATGAAGATGACACACATTTTTGCGTATCGTAAATTTAAATGTTTAAAAAAAAATTATATATTTATTAATTTTTAATAATAGAAATAAAATATCATTTACAAAAAATACAATCCATTGCATAATATAAAATAAAATTTCATACTCAAAAAATAAAATAGATTGCACAAATTATAATGTCATACAAAGAATCATTCAAATGTTAAACAAAAATAATACATTGCTAACGTGGGTTATACATTCCTATAAAACTAACAAATAATCATACAACTCTGTTTCTTACTGGAAAGGAATGCCAAACATGATTACAAGTCTCCCTTAATCTTGATTACTCACCTAGCTACTAAAGTAGAATGCTGTTGTTGAGAAGGTTACCTAGCAACAGAGAAAAACACAACACCTCATGAATTGAGAAGGTACGTTGATATCTGGTGCAAAACTGCTAACATCATGATTGGATGAAAAGGTGACAGTTATTAATCCAAGTACCTGTGTATGTTAAGGTTTGAAGTTAATAAAAATACAAATAATAATAATGTGAACCTCGTATGACAATTTAAAAAGAAATCAATACCGATTTATGTATCTCTGACTTCCCATTCTCCCAGGGAATAATTATCTTGATGTTTATTAAACTAATATCCCACATCATTCTCTTCCGACCTGACAACATGTATCTACAAAACAAAACAAGAGAAAATACATATGTGTAGTTTAAATACAATGTTTCTTGCTACTAATCCCATTTCTAGACCCTAAAGGAAATAATATTATTCCAGGAGTAAGATCATAGGAGAAGACATACTCGGCTTTCGATGTTAGACGTGACTTCATGTCTTTTATCCCATTAAGCGAGTTTAGGACCTGTAACATGAAACCAGTTTCTCAAAAACCTCATAAGTTAATCATATAGAATCTATTAGTTGCGTTTCATATTAATGGAATAATGAATTCAATATCTACAGCTAAAGAATACATCTACTTTGAGACATGTAACACTTAAAAAATCATGCAAGTACTTCAAAACATGTAAACTAAAATAACACTCTCCCTTCCTTCATGAGATTGAAAGGAAGCCAACACAGTATATAACTCCACAAAATTAACAAGATAGGTTGGATCACATGTCATTTCAATCGGCTCAAGCAAAACCTAAAAACAAAGTTAAGGGTCATTGTCATTATCAGAAGTTTACAGCACAAGATATTTATAAAAAAAAATGCAAGTTGGGTACCCCCCAAATCATGCACTACATTGTGTCTTCAAGGCAGCATCTTCATACCCTGAGGTAAACATTATAAAACTTATTTTTTTTTTACCCTTTTCACATAAATAAATTTGTGTGAGGAGAGTAACATAAAAACTACTTACTCTTTAAATACTTATCATGCTCATCAGCTTCAAATTGCTCATTGTTGAAATACTTCACAGTCTAAAGGAGAAAAAATAAGTTGTAAGATAAAGAAAAAATAACGAAAGGTAATTGTAAAGAAGCAAGAATATGTTGTTACTGTAACACCGAAAATTTAAACCAAAATTTTCAATTTTTATAAAACATAATTCCATCAATATTCATTAAAACAGCCATTTTAATTGTCCAACAAAACAATACAAATCCCAAGATCATAACGTCAAGCCCTAAACGTGTGTGTGTACGGATCAAGCCGGCGCCTTCCCGCGGTCGTCACTAGTACCTGAAACAAATAACATCAACACTGTAAGCACAAGGCTTAGTGAGTTCCCCAAAATACCACATATAACACATATTAGCCACTCTAGGCTATAACTCTGTGGGTCCGTGCACCCAAACTCTGTGAACCCTCAGGTTCTAACTCTGATAAACATGCACCACATAAATCACATAGAAATCATGCAGTACAACACATAACATACATAGCATACAAATACCCCATTAAATAGCTCTGGTTACCTACTCAAGGTAAAGTATAGTGAGAAGACTCACCTCGCGTGTCTCGGTAAATCATAAACCTGAAATTGCTAATCACTCGACCTCTCGAGCTGTCGTCCCCCCCCCCCCTATAGCACAATACACCTCTAATTAGCACTTTCCCAACTAGGGTTGACCATACTATAACAAGTCAACCTAGGTCAACGCTGGTCAACGGTCAACGGTCAACTTTGACCGGACTCGGCGAGTACCCAGGCGACTCGGCGAGTCTGGGCGTGTACACCAATTTCCCTGGAATCCCCCCCCCCCCTTGACACGTCGAGCATTCCCTCAACTCGACGAGTTCCACCTGGCGCGAGTTGTGGGGCCACCACGACTCAACTCGCCGAGTCTCAAGAACAACTCGGCGAGTCCAGTTAGACTCAGTCCACCTGTCCATTCTGACTCCCCCTTGACTCACTGAGTCTACCTTTCCCAACTCGGCGAGGCCACTCACAGTGTGGTCGGGCAACATTCATGCTACTCGCCGAGTCTGTTCTTCAGACTCGGCGAGTCCATGCCATGCACTGACTCAATCTTGCTTTAAAGGTCAGATCCAGTTCATTAATACATAGATCCAGTCCCTCCAAGCTCATTTAGCACGTAAAGTTACAATCTTGATGCACATACAACCTCTATATGACCATATATGATGTTTTTGACTCAAATACTACAACACAAGGTCAAAGACTCCATTGTCACCCATAAAGCTTGATGAGTGAGGCCCTCTGGACCTCTATGGGTCCAGATCCATGGCATCAACTCAAAGAGGGAACCAATGGGTACCAAATCAACCCATAAATGACCACATGAAACCCTAAATTGCAACAAGCTTCACTAAACAGAAAATGGTCCGAGATAATACCTCTAGAGTGATGATCTAAGCTCCAAATCCACGAAATAGCAACCTCCTTTGCTTCCTCTTGCCTAGGGTCTCCTTCTTCTTGCTAAATAACACACACAAGATCAAGAATGGCTCCCTTCTCTTCACAAGTCGCTCAAGAACACTAGGGACACTCACTGAGGGTTGGGTGAGCACAAATGACGGCCATAAGGCCCTTTAAATAGGCCTCAAACCCGGAGATTTAGGGTTTCATTACACAGCGCAGACTCGTCGAGTCCATATCCTGGACTCGCCGAGTCCAAGCGCGCACCAATGTTCCATCCCGCGTCCCTACTCGGCGAGTCTGAGCTCCAACTCGCCGAGTCCCTCTCACAATATAACAAAAAAATTAGATTACAAGATACCTGGTAAAATCCGGATGTTACAACTCTCCCCCACTAGAACTAGACTTCGCCCTCGAAGTCTCGCTCTAAAACAGCTCCGGATGCTGCTCCCGCATCATACCCTCCGGCTCCCAGGTCATTTCTGATCCCTTCCGATGTTGCCACTGAACCAATACCAGAGGTACCTCCTTGTTCCTCAAAATCTTGATCTTCCGATCCCTAATAGCCACTGGTCTCTCAGCATAATTCAGGCTTGCATCCACCTGAATATCCTCTAGTGGAACCACTGCCGACTCATCGGCTATACATTTCCTCAACTGCGATACATGAAAAGTGTTGTGAATCTGCCCCAACTCCGCTGGTAACTCCAGCCGATAGGCTACCCGGCCTACCCTGGCAATCACACGAAACGGACCTATAAACCGGGGCCCCAATTTTGCCCCTCTTCCTGAACCGGATCACCCCTTTCCAAGGAGAAACCTTCAGGAGAACGAAGTCACCGACCTGAAATTCCAGCTCGGACCAGCGTCTATCCGCGTAACTCTTTTGTCGGCTCTGAGCGGTCAATAACCTCTGTCTGACCAGCTGTATCTGCTCTGTCGTCTGATTCACGATCTCTGTACTGCCCATTACCCTTTGCCCAACCTCTCCCCAACATATGGGAGTCCGACACCTCCTACCATACAACAGCTCAAAGGGCGGCATACCAATGCTCGAATGATGGCTGTTATTGTAAGAAAACTCCGCCAAAGGCAAATACGTGTCCCAACTACCCCAAAGTCCAATACACATGCTCGAAGCATGTCCTCGAGTGTCTGTATCGTCCGCTCACTCTGACCGTCGGTCTGGGGGTGGTATGCGGTACTAAAATGCAGCTTAGTACCCAACTCCTCATGAAATTTCTTCCAGAAACGGGAAGTGAAACGTACATCGCGGTCTGAAACAATCGAGATCGGCACCCCATGCCGAGATACAACCTCCCTCACGTAAATCTCCGCCAACTTCTCTGCCGAAGAACTCTCACTGATGGCAAGAAAGTGAGCGCTCTTTGTCAACCTATCCACAATCACCCATCGCAATAGGAATCAGGTCGATCGGGAACTCAACCCCGAAAATCTCCAATACACATCCCCGGAGGACCTCTGTAGCACAAATCACTCTGTCGGCGGCTATGGAAACCCGCAGGGGCCGACTCAATGCCCCACGACTAACACTGATACGCTGACTAAATGCCAAAGATACAAAAGATCGACTCGCACCCGAGTCAAATAACACTAAAGCAGGTACAGAATTCACAAGGAAGGTACCTATGCATAGCATAATATAAGCATAATATCTCAACACCATAAATAAATAATGAAAAGGAAACGTACCAACCACAATGTCGGGTGCAGCGCGGACCTCTTCCGCAGTCAGTTGGAAGGCTCTTCCCCGAGCCCTTGGTGCCTCGGCCTTCACGGGCCGACTCTCTGTAGCAGTAGCTCTGATGGCGGCGGGAGCAGACCCCTGAGATGCTCCGCGCAGCAGCGGACACTCTGCCTTCCGGTGTCCGGTCTGGTTGCAGTGGAAGCACACTGCAAATCCCTTGGGGCAATCCTTGGCCATATGCCCCTCCTTGCCACATTTGTAGCAAGACCCTGCCCGACAGACTCCATCGTGACACTTGCCGCACTTCCCACAAGTGCGGCCCTTCTGGCTCCCGGGTCTGGGATCAGCGGGCTTGGCCCGCTTGGCTGCCGGCTGGGACTGTGCTGGCCGCCGATCCCTCCCCAGAGACTCCGCCTCCTCCCTGGCCTGAGTCTCAAGCTCAATCTCCCTCTTCCGAGCATTTGCCTGAAGCTCGGCAAATGTCCGGTACGAGGAGTTCGCAGCGAACTCCCGAATCTCCCGTCTCAGAATGCTCAGGTAACGGCTCATACGTGCCTGCTCGGTGGACACGTGCTCAGGGCAGAACATCGCCCTCTCATGAAACATCCTCGTAATCGCTGTAACTGACTCGGTACCCTACTTGAGGGTCAGAAATTCCTGTGTCAGACGCTCCCTCTCCACCTGAGGAACGTACTCATCTCGGAACATGGTAGTGAACCTCTCCCAGGTCACTGCCGAAAGCTCAGTCGGTGTGAAGTGCGCAGTCACAAACTTCCACCAGTCCTTCGCTCCCAAGCGAAGCTGGTTCAGTGCGAACCGAACCTTCAAATGCTCAGGGGACGAGCAAGTGAAGAAGCATCCCTCCATATCAGATATCCACCTCATAACTGCCACCGGATCCTGCGTACCATCAAACTCTGGTGGCTTGGTGTTGCTGAACTCTCTAAACAATGTCGCATCACCTCCCTGGGGTCTTGCCGCAGCAATCACTGCGGTAGCCGCTGCAACCGCAGCTTCAGAAAGAGCGGCATAACGCTCGTCAAATGTCTCAATCAACGCGGTCTTAATGGACCCAAACATCTCTGGTAACTCAGCTCTGATGACCGCAGCCACCTCCTCATGAATGATCTGTCGAATCTCCTCATCGCTAGTTCCGGCATCCTCCGGCATGTGACGTGTCCTCACCATGATCAACCTCTGAAATACAACATGCGATAATTAGAATTCACTCGAACACTCTTACATTCGACAATCCACCCCTCCTTGACTCTTGGCATCCCAAGATTCTTATTTGGACTGTGTACCGCACCGGTGCTTTCAGTAGTACGGGCCCAATACTACTGTCCGCACCGTCTCAGTACACACCCCAAATCTTCCTCTTCGGATCCCAATCCCCAAGTACTCTATTATACTTAAATCACTCTGTAACAGGTCTCACACAAAGCTCTAGCTGCTACCTAATTACTCTCAGCATCTCATAGCAGCTCACCATTCCCTAGGCTAAGGCATCATGAAACAGGCCATTCTAGTCCTATCAGCAATACCTAGCCTACTCAAGCATGCAAACACATCGCATTAATAATTATCACGTAATAAAAGATATTTTGGGAATTCACCGTTCGGGCGCTGGCTGATCGTACACACGTTTCTTCCTGGAAAATCTTTGACTCTTAGAAAATTTTTGGTTTTTATTTTGAAAATATCTCTTTAATTCCTCAGTTTGAGTTCAAATACCCTCGAAGGTGTACCCGAATCCCTCACACCAAGGCTCTGATACCAATTTGTAACACCGAAAATTTAAACCAAAATTTTCAATTTTTATAAAACATAATTCCATCAATATTCATTAAAACAGCCATTTTAATTGTCCAACAAAACAATACAAATCCCAAGATCATAACGTCAAGCCCTAAACGTGTGTGTGTACGGATCAAGCCAGCGCCTTCCCGCGGTCGTCACTAGTACCTGAAACAAGTAACATCAACACTGTAAGCACAAGGCTTAGTGAGTTCCCCAAAATACCACATATAACACATATTAGCCACTCTAGGCTATAACTCTGTGGGTCTGTGCACCCAAACTCTGTGAACCCTCAGGTTCTAACTCTGATAAACATGCACCACATAAATCACATAGAAATCATGCAGTACAACACATAACATACATAGCATACAAATACCCCATTAAATAGCTCTGGTTACCTACTCAAGGTAAAGTATAGTGAGAAGACTCACCTCGCGTGTCTCGGTAAATCGTAAACCTGAAATCGCTAATCACTCGACCTGTCGAGCTGTCGTCCCCCCCCCTATAGCACAATACACCTCTAATTAGCACTTTCCCAACTAGGGTTGACCATACTATAACAAGTCAACCTAGGTCAACGCTGGTCAACGGTCAACGGTCAACTTTGACCGGACTCGGCGAGTCTGGGCGTGTACACCAATTTCCCTGGAATCCCCCCCTTGACACGTCGAGCATTCCCTCAACTCGACGAGTTCCACCTGGCGCGAGTTGTGGGGCCACCACGACTCAACTCGCCGAGTCTCAAGAACAACTCGGCGAGTCCAGTTAGACTCAGTCCACCTGTCCATTCTGACTCCCCCTTGACTCACTGAGTCTACCTTTCCCAACTCGGCGAGGCCACTCACAGTGTGGTCGGGCAACATTCATGCTACTCGCCGAGTCTGTTCTTCAGACTCGGCGAGTCCATGCCATGCACTGACTCAATCTTGCTCTAAAGGTCAGATCCAGTTCATTAATCCATAGATCCAGTCCCTCCAAGCTCATTTAGCACATAAAGTTACAATCTTGATGCACATACAACCTCTATATGACCATATATGATGTTTTTGACTCAAATACTACAACACAAGGTCAAAGACTCCATTGTCACCCATAAAGCTTGATGAGTGAGGCCCTCTGGACCTCTATGGGTCCAGATCCATGGCCTCAACTCAAAGAGGGAACCAATGGGTACCAAATCAACCCATAAATGACCACATGAAACCCTAAATTGCAACAAGCTTCACTAAACAGAAAATGGTCTGAGATAATACCTCTAGAGTGATGATCTAAGCTCCAAATCCACGAAATAGCAACCTCCTTTGCTTCCTCTTGCCTAGGGTCTCCTTCTTCTTGCTAAATAACACACACAAGATCAAGAATGGCTCCCTTCTCTTCACAAGTCGCTCAAGAACACTAGGGACACTCACTGAGGGTTGGGTGAGCACAAATGACGGCCATAAGGCCCTTTAAATAGGCCTCAAACCCGGAGATTTAGGGTTTCATTACACAGCGCAGACTCGCCGAGTCCAAGCGCGCACCAATGTTCCATCCCGCGTCCCTACTCGGCGAGTCTGAGCTCCAACTCGCCGAGTCCCTCTCACAATATAACAAAAAAATTAGATTACAAGATACCTGGTAAAATCCGGATGTTACAGTTACCCTTAAAATCCAAACAAAGATTGGGGAGAACTATCCAAGCTTAGACGTGATCAAGTGCATCCTACCAAGAAGCTAAAAAAATATATAAACAATCGATCACCTAGTCCACTTATCAGGAAGATGAAATACTAAAATAACAACAAACTTTAGAAAAAACTGGAAATCAAAGCACTTACACATCACTAAATATGAATATGATGAAATGGAATCACAAAAGTATGGAATGGAATCATGGATTCTTGTAACATGATAATGAAAAAGGGAAATGTGCATGTCCTTCGGGGTTTAAAGGCGATGGTGTGAAAACTTGTGAATGTAAATAAATTTTATATTTTTGAAATAATGAAATGGTGGAAGGGTTTTAGAAGGGTAATTTGGTAATTAAGATGAATTATTAAACACAGATGTTGATGAATGTAAAGTAAAGAAAGCATGTCATTGTCCAGAATGCAGTTGCAAGAATACTAGGTTCGTGGAGACATTTGCTAATGTGGCTGAGAAAACTGTGTTGGCTGACTTTGACCAGGGGGCATGCATTGTCCCCGTGGACGAAATTGCCCTTACTGAGGTAGAACCAAAAATCGAAACTGCGGCAAAGTGAAACCATCAATATTCACCTATAAACATCTATTGAACAATCTATCAAGATTCAAGATCCAATTAATCATTAATCACCTCTTCCAGAGCATCAATGGCGGCTGGAACAAAATCCTTCAACTCCTACTTCCACAACAAAGGGAAAAAACATGTAATTTACTCTATATTTGATTAAAAGAATTTGAAAAACTCTTATAACCATATCTATTTACTCTATATTTGATTACAGAAAACTTGCCATCAATAACAAAAAATGTAATTTCCTGTTTTGATAACAATAACAAGAACAAAAAATGTAATTTCCTTTGAGATTTTAGCCTCTCCACATGCCATAAAAATAGAAATAAACTCAAGTATACGACCTGTATCGTCCTTTGAAGGCTATGTTCTAATAACTTTTCCTATTTTGATAACAATAACAAGAACATATACAGTCTTTAGGACAGATCTTGACTTTGAGATCTAGAATTCTTTGGTGTTGGATCGATAAATGCACATCTCAAAACATCCAATGTTGGTTCAGTGTCCGATTCTAGGAGATGATAGAGATTCTTACAATTCGATCTCTTAGTGGCTCCACAATGATATCACATAGTTGAGTTGGTTCCTGTAAACACATTAAACATTTATTATTATCTAATAATAATTTAAAAAAAACTGTTTATTAGATGATAGGCATACCACATCAAGAGGCTCAATGAGTGTTGTTTCCAACCTGGACTCTGAAACACTAGGTCTATATAGGTTTTCAATGAATGGCTCCCTTAGATCCCAGAAAATTATCTTAGTTCCTGTAAAATGTTAAAAATTATCATGGAAGAAAGTTAAACTCAGATCTTGGATATAACTAATACCTGACCATGATATGACAGATTTTGAAAAATGTTCTCACCTGTGAACTCACAAATCCGGTCAATGGCTGCATTAATATCTTTCCTACTTCCATCAAAGCTTTCTTTTCTCAAGTTGTCAACAACATGCTTTGAATATACTTGAAGTGCATTATTAATGCCTCGGAACAGGCTGTTCATTTCTCCAGATCTCATAGGAATCTTTAGAGCAAAAAATTGGTCAACAGTCTGAAAGAAGATAAAAACAAAGGTATGTTATTAATGTATTATAGTGAATGGAAATGGATGCTTAAGAGTAGATATAATAAAGAGCAAAGAAATAAGAACCTCTTCTATAATGCGATAGACTTCAACAATCAAACTACCATGTCGTTGCTGCATCGAAATGGGTCTGAAATATTAAAATAAAAAACATAATTAACCAAGAAAAAAAACAAAAAAATCATTAGTGGCAAGAAAACCAATTCAATTAATTACCTCCTGTTGAATAGCTCACTCAACCCAACTCAAAATTCTGCTTAGTTGTGAATTGACCCAACGCAACACCAGTGTTCCGGATATGGATTCAATCTAATATTAAAAAAAAATAGATATACAGTAAAAAAAAAAAAAACTTCCAAATAGATGATCATGATGTGAGCATGTTACAAAGTCTAATCATAATAAATTAATAATAATCCTGACACACACACACACATGTATAAAATATGATATAAGTATTTATATCATTGTAACCTTAAAGTATTAATTTTGACACGAAACACATGCATAAGGGATACGTAATGGGCCAATGACCATGGGCTGGGTTGCAACAGAAACCAACACTTAACTAAGGGATACATGAAGAAAGCACCTGTTGAAGCTTTGTCCATACTATTTGTTTGCAAGCTTCATGATGCAGAACAAGTCAATGAGGTACCATAATAGAAAGGGTAATCAACTTTCTAAAAAAACAAGTAAAAAGCACAACCTGCCTCGAAACACGACTGTGGTCATCCGTTGATCTGTTGGAGATATGGGATCTTTCCTGAGAAAAGGCAATTTAACAAAAAAAAAGTCATCTACATGAAATATTAATTCTAGTCATCTTTAAAATGTAGTGAAATGAGTACTGATAATTGAAATCTTTTAGAGTAAAAGTGATGAGCATATTCAATGATAATTGAAATCTTTTAAAGTGTAGTGATGAGTACTGAACAAATACGAACTCCATTATTTTATTTTATTTTTTTTATCTTTTTTTGAGGCAGACTCCATTCTGGGGTCATAGTTCCTTGATAAATTCGATGGATAAACATGTGTTCCCACGGATAATAATAACCTTGCCATGAGAAGATCTAACCTTTTCCTGAATAGATGCTCCTTTCTTTTTTATTCTGAATAGAGATTTATAAATAAAGTTAATTGTTTACAACTCCAAGAGTCTCCACTTAATGAAACACTTACTAAGATTATGCAGAACAAGAATTTTATGATAGTTTTATGTTTTTATGGTTTTATTACAGTTAATTGTTTACAACTCTAAGAGTCTCCACTGTATAAAGATCTAACCTTTTCCTGAACAGATGCCCCTTTCATTCAGTTCTGTTTTAGTAGTTTTATTACAGTTTTATGGTTTTATGGTTTTGTTATTTGATCTTACCTACAATTTTAGCTGCTTCACAAAACCAAGATTGTCTTTGAAGAACTCAACACTTTGATCATAGGAAGCAAGCATGCCCACGTTCAATGTCATTGCCCTAACTACAGTTTTATGATGAATGTAATACTAAAAATCAGAAATTGGCATACTAATTTCATAAATTGAACCCAGAATTGCATTTTGAAACTACTGGATTGCAGAAATAAACTCGTTCCAGGTACCGATTTGGAACTATCTTGACTCCGTACCGATTTACAATCCGGGAATCGTCTGGAATGCTTTCGTACCCCGATTGGGTACGAAGCCATTTGGTATGGGGTTCGTAGCCATCTGAGCGAATTTGAAACTATGGGAAAAACCCTAACTAACCACAAATTAATCGGTTTTTACTGAAAAAAAGGCAGAAATCGAGAGAGTTGGAGTTTACATGTATAGGCGCTTGGTATGGTACCGCCGATCCACCGTCTTCTTCTACCACCAGTGTTAGTAACCGGTACGTCGAGAAAGCATCGATACAGTAGAACCGTAGCCGATGGGGAAGAAAACTGATGAATTGATGAAGGAGGTGTAATAGGTATTTGATATATGAGACTGTGAGGGCAACATAATTTTTGATGGGAACTATGTGTGGGCGCAAAGGGGCTGAAATCAATCAGACACAAAAACACCACCACGTCTTCCCCTTCGTTGCTCTCTTTTTCAGGGTCCAAGCAGATCATTCTCACTTGCGACGATGGAGGCGAGAATACTGGTGGTTCGAGAATAGTGGTGGTCTGAATATTCGATGACGGTGTGTTTGTGGAGACAAGGGATAAGAAGGTCGGGATTTAAAAAATTGATCCCTAATTTTAGTGTGAGGGTCGATTTGGAAGAAATCTCAAACCCTTAACCTTAAACATGATGTGAAGCAATTGATCCATAATTTAAGGCTAGTAGAGGAAATGAGAGGTGGAGACGAGGGATAAGAAGGTGGGGGTTTAAAAAATTTGGGGATTTCATTTTCCCTCCGAGACGCGCGTTTCTTAAAAAAATATATAAAGCGACATTCACAGACGACGCACAAGCGTCTTTCGTGTTTTTAATATTTTTACATGAGACACTAATTTAAGGGCACTCGGTAATACGCGACCTAAATCCTTAAAATTATTGAAGAGATGACACTTTTTTAATGTCGCTCTCTAATGCATAACATAAATCAAAGAGCATCGTGTTTTGCACGTCGTAAAAGAGTCTTTTTCTTGTAGTGTTTGCTTAATGAACATGCCATTGCGCCTCCGTACTTCGAATAAATAACAAAGATCAACATCCTTCTTGAATAAATAATTTACTCATGATGTCGTCCTCTGCTTAATAAATATGCATACCAAGACTATATGACACATAAAATACTAATAAAATGAAACATAGAAATGGTTTTGCGTTTGTATTCTTTAACGGTATTTTCTATTCGAATAGATAATAATTCATAAAATACTAATACCTTATAAAGAAATGTACAGTTCTTAATTGACGATTATATTTTTTGTAAACTGTTTACAGTAAACACACACAATATGGTTTTAAAGTAGCTGAAGTTATTATAAATTATTACACAATATTTTTTTCAACAAGGCAATAATTTCTCAAAAGATATTACTCCGTATTTTTGATAAAAGACTTACAGCTCTCTATAAAGATAACCATCTTATTATAATTTGTATTTGGTATATCTCATGAAAGAAACAATAATTTTTATTTTTTTAGAACGACAGAATTTATTAAACGTAGCAAGAAGTCAGAACAAACACATTACAACTAAACATAACATAAAGCGGGGTTACGGAGCCAATAACTCAAACCAAGCTTAGTTTTGCTACTTCTATTAGAAAACCAGAGAAACGACCTCTCAACAATATCATCGATGAGAAGCAATTTACGAGGAGGACTCGTTCCAAAAATGGTGGAATTTCTAACGTTCCACAAGCACCAAAAAGTAGATATCGGGGTAATAAAAAGCTTAGAAATTCTGAGAATCGTGTGTACATTTTCAAATTAAAGTATTTGGGTGGTATTTTTAATATTTAATCGGATAAAGCTCAGAAGATTTTTAAGAACAGAAAATATGAAGTATGATTTTCGTGATTATTGTATCAAGAAAATGATGACCAAAATGATTAAGTACTTCATTTGTTTGAAAACTGCCAAGCCAGTTTTCTTTGTCCAAAAACTACTCGAACTGTCAAAAAACAGTCATAAACTGTCATAAAATCGGATCATTAATAAACTTCAAAACGAAGTCAAAAAACCGGGTTTATATATTTATAGAAAATTCATATTTTTAAGGCATTTTTTTATATACTAATATAGCCTCATCTCTGCCCCTTGGAACCTGTCAGGGGCTGCCGCCCCTTGAACTAGACCTGCCAAAACATGTTATGTTGTGTCGGGTTCGTGTCGTGCCAATAAATTAAACGGGATGAAAAGACTTGACCCTAACCCGACCTTCTTTATTATCATGTCGTACCGTGTCAACCCATTTATTTTCGAGTCGGTTTCGTTTCGAGTTTTGGGTTAATGTTTAGACCTTGTAAATATGTTCTGTCATGTCGATTTGAAATATTTTAATGGTTGGAATGTAGGAGTTGTGGAGGCAAAAAGGAAAAAAGTGAAATATTGGAGTTATGAGGTGGAATGACAAAATTTACAGTAAGTTTAGAAGGAAAAATAAAAAGAGTTAATGTTCAGGACCGAAATAGATAGGTGGTGAGTATGACTAAAATTAACTAACTTTGAAAATTTGAATATTACTTCTAATTATTGAGTTTGGCCGACTACAAGTCTATAACAAATAATATATTTATAAAAATATGAAATTTATAATAAATAATATATAATTAAACGAGGCGTAATCGAGTCATTTTCGAGTTTAAAGTCTTGATTCTAACCCTACCCGTTTAATTATCATGTCGTATCGTGTCAACCCGTTTACATAAACATGTCGAAATCTCTGGCCTTAACTCTTTAATGTCGTGTCGGGTTTTCATGTCATGTCAAGTTTTGCTAGATCTACCTTGGACCCCACTCATAGGGGCGTTGCCCCAGAACCTATTGGATTAGGTGTCTAAGCCGATAACTATAATTGGTATGTACTTGACTCGATAATAGCATGATCAATTTGTGGTTGCATTCATCAGAACAATTTGTTAGGAAGGATATTTAAGAAAGATGTTATTTGTGATTTATTAATATATTATAAGTATAATATATTATTTGAGAAATCATATTATTTAATTAGTATTGATCAAGAATTAATTTCAAATTAATTTAATGATCAAAAGAGACTGATTTGGAGGAAGATGGTAACATGGGAATTGCATTATGCATAAGAAGGCTCTAATATCCTAACTTTTTTTTTTTTCGTGCATATTTCAGAAACTTATCAGTGATGACTCTCTTTGGTGGAAATGCAAAAGTAAAATTCTATTTATTGAACCTGTGAATCTGTGAGTTTGAGTATAGTAGGCTGTTTTGGTAATTATAACATACTACTTTGGATATGTTAATCTGAGTATATTCAATTGGTTTAATAATTCCTAAAATACTGAAGTAGACTGCTTTGTTTAACCCTTAATACATTACTTTTTTGTTGCATTTGACATTATCGGAGAAATGAAAGTATTTTGCTTTTATCTTGAACGCACCAATCCTATAGTAGCATTGGGTTATAAAGTAATAGAGTAGAAATATCTATTAAAATTTACTACATCATTTATAAAGAATTGGGTATATATGATTTGTTAGTTTTTTTTCTTTTTTTTTTTGTAATTTTTATTTTATGGATTAATGTTTATTTCTCTTTTTAGGTATGGGTTAATCAAAATGATGTTAATCTTGACAGTGAATCATGCTTATTAGTGAAAGATACAAGTTATACACGTATGAAACATAGTTCGAAGCCTCTCCTAATTGGAGACCATATCTAGACGATTTTTACCCCTAATGGTGTTTTGTCCCTGATGTTAAGGTTGGTGAATTCCATTCTTCTGTTGCTTTGCCTCACTCAATTGGAGACCATCTGGGACCTTTTTTCGAATGTGGTGTTGCATGATAAATATATGTCCTTTTAAATGTTGTTGTTTTCTCTGATCTAGAAAATCATAATTGTTAAATGTTTTTTTAATTGGTCCATCATCTTTCTTATTAAAAAAACTTATTTATATAGTGATCTAATTAATGGTGGAACTTGTTGCACTAATAAACTTTCTCCCTTCACCCCTCCTACCCCCCCCCCCATCCAAAAAAAGCTATATCGTTTAATATGTGGTCTTTTTAGTTTTTTCTAATATCTTTTATAGTGGTATGCCCCTCATTGAATCGAGTGTTCTAAGAGTGATTGTGATCTGATTCATACAGTTTGTTGTCAAATTCTCATATTTTCTTCTAAAAATCTCAAGTATTTCTTCCGTACAAAAATGGCGTCCTTCAATCTGAATTCAATGACTTCATTTTCTCATCTTCTAGGATCTTCCACCAAAATTCCTATGCTCATCCTTGAGTATTACGATCAGTGGGCTGATCGTATGCAGGATTATCTTAATGGATTAGATGAAGATCTGTGGAATTGTATTTCTGGAAATCTCAATCCACCATCGAATGTTTAACCACTTGGTTCTTCCTCTGGAAACTCCGAAGTTGAAAATCAAGCTGATCATCTGAAAAAGCTGGAGAAAAGATGTATGAGAGAACTAAGAGGAGCTTTGCCTCTAGTTGTTAACAACTACGTGACGAGTTGTAAAACTGCAAAAGAAATCTGGAACAATCTCAAGGAAAAGTTTCAGGGAAGTGAGAAGATGAAGGTTAATTCTGTCAAACAATGCTTAGTTGAGCTGAAGGGCTTCAGATAGAAAGATGGTGAATCAATTGAAGTATATTACGATCGTCTGAATGAGTTGATATATCGATGCAATCGATATGGGATCACCAGATCTGCAATGGAATTAAATCTGATATTTGTCATGGGACTTCGAAAGGAATGGCGGAGCGTGAGCATGATGGTGAAGAACCAACAGAGCTTTGACACATCTACATTGAATGAGTTGTAGAACCAGCTTAAAACTCATGAAGGCGAAGTGAATGAAACAACTGAAGAATCGAAGGCTATGTTGGGAGGTCCACTAGCTTTGATGTCAAAGATTTCTTAGAAAGATGCTGTTAAAGATGCTTCGGATGAAGATGAAGGGTTCATCATGAACTCTGATGATGAAGCAATTGCCTTTTACTCAAAAAATCGGGTGAAAAAGTTCTTTAAAAATCCTTTCAGTCTGAAGGCAAAGTCGTCTGAGATAAAAAGGAACTTTCTGAGTAAAAATGTTGGGGAAGAGAAGAAGAAGGAAGAGAAGCAAGATTCGAAGGCTGTTGAGGAAAAAAGTGAGAATAAGCTGAAGGGAGATACTAGGATTGACTTTCATTATTGCAATGGTGCGAATCATCTTGCAAATGGCTGTATGCTTCGAAAGAAAGATGAGAGGAAGATGAAGGTGAAAGATGAGGCATACTATGCTGAAAAGTTAGAGGAGGTTCGTACGAAAGCTAAGAATTTGTCTCTAGTTGCAAAGTGCACTGATGAGGAGGAAGATGGTACATATCAAATATGGTCATCTTGATCAGATGATGAAGAAATGCGCAATCCAACCCATGGAGCCATGTTTGCAAAGATGGAGGAGGATTCAGAGGAGGAAAC